TGTTAGGAAAATAGTTTTTTTCTTTTTGGGGGGTGGGTGTGTGCCAGTACTGGGCCCTGGGCCCTGTCCTTTAACATTTTTGCTCAAGGCTGCACTTGAGCCATAGCTCCAGCTCCAAAATTTTTCTTAATAAATTTTTTAGAACATGGCAATTCTATGATTTGCACATACTCATTTTGATTTTTTTGTGGGAAAATGCAATATTTTCTAATGTATTTTTATTATCTATTTTTGAACATGAAGCTAATTTTTTGATACATTAAAATGATAATTTTCTTTAATTGGTACATATTACAAGAAATTCACACTTTTTTTTCTTATTTTAAGCAGGATCTAATAGTTTCCTTTTGAAAAAAAATGACAACTTTGATTGACCTTGGTTTGCTTTAGGAAACAGCAAACAACTTGATATTGACCTATTGGTTGTATTTAGAAGGTAATGGCTAATGTTAGTTTCTTATCACCTTGCTTTGATTTGACCTCTGAATTTCCTTCTTGCATGTCTCTGCTGGGTGACTGTGTGGAACTTGGTACATCTTACTTGAAAAGTGCATCCTGGAGTTGCTATAGATAGTAAGAAGAGCCAGTTTGCAACAGTTGGGGACGTCTTGTAGTCTCTTTTTTTCTTAAAGTAATCCCACCTGTCCTGGGTCATCTCTGAGGAGTGGCCATTTCTTCACTGTGAATCACCAGATGAGTAGGTTTGACAGGGCTTGTTGATGCAGCCCCACTGACTCAATCTGCTCTGCTCCAATCAGGAGCCAGCTGTGTTTTACTCTTCTCATCCTCATTGCTGAACTTTGGAGTCCTAGACTTCCTTCTCCATTCAGATAACAAATTAAACTATAGAGAATCTATAGTGGCACAATACAATAATCCTAGTATTCAAGTAGTTGAAGGAGGAGGAGTGTGAGTACAAGGCCAGCCTGGGATACTTAGTGAAACCTTATCTCAAAAAAAAAAAGTTAAAAACTGTAGGGAGTTAAAAGTAACTTCATATCTTAGTCACTTCTCAGAGTTGCTTGTATTGAGTAGAATCCTGTAAATGTTGATGATCTTATTATTGCATGGACAATTATTTTTTACCTTTTTTAATGAAGTTTATATTGGCTGGTCACCAATCATGGTCCTTGTTGCCTACTGAGTAATGACTCAATCATTGGGTGTGATGGCTAATTTTATGTCAACTAGCCTCCGCAAAAGGTTGTCCAGTTAACCATTCTGGGTGTGTCTGTGAGAGTGTTTCAGAATGTGGTTAACAAGTCCAGTATGGGTGGACTTTAATTTGTCAAGGCCGCAGAGTGTGTGTGTGTGAGAGAGAGGGGGGGGGGAAGGGTGGGAGAGAAAGGGAAGGAGGGAGGGAGGGAGGGAAAGAGCCCTCCTTCTTTCTCCTTTCTCTCTTGATTTCCTCCCTCTCTGCTTTTGAGCTGGGATATTGGTCTTCTGCTTTTAGACTCAGACACAAATGGAAACTTACATCACTGGTTTTCCTGTACTCTAGTTTACCAGCTGCATATCCAGGGACAGCTTCTGTAATCACAGCACCTTGTAATAAATCTCCTTATAAACACAACACACACAAAGAAAACAACACACAATCCAACACAACACATGTAAACACCCCTACTACTTAAGGGTGTTTGTGACCTG